GAAGGTAATGACTTGTAAAGTACAGTACTAGAGTGTTTTTTTCAGACTAGCATTGCTAAATTATCAGTCAATTCAAATTCTGCATAAAATGAATGTTTGTTTTAGCAATCGATAAGTATGCAAATAAAGTTCTTTCCGTTCCACTTAACACAATTAAAATTCTCAGCAAGTTAAATATATTGAATTGTTTATCTGCGGAGAGGCATGTAGGGCTCCAATTAAGTTTACACGGATAAATGCAGATTTGTGTTTGTGAATGTCAAGCTGACAGAAGCTTAATACTGTAAAAGGGCTAATCAACACTGAATATGTTTAGTGTCAGTAAATATTTATTGTGCAAATGTTGCTCATGGAACGCTAAGGCACAAAAACCAAGTTTATTTTGCTTTTTAGTGACTAAATACTGTAATTTGTATATCATCCCATCCACATCCCTTCTGTATAATTTTGCTTTGTACAAAATTATTTTTATCACTTCATCACTTTGGTGATGGTATTGGAGAAGGACGACACATGAGCTTGGCTGTAGTTTTGGTTTTTTTTTAAACTTAATTAAAAAAGGGGTGAATTTACTGGTATTTGTGGTTTTGTTCCACGAGCATATTCCAGATAGCATGGAGTTGGACCAGGTACAGTGCAGATAGGCAGGCAGTATGCATCATCATATAACTCTGACAGTGGATTTTGGGCCTTCTGTTCCTAAACCAGGATACCAAGATTACTAATCAAACTGTGCCAGATTGTTTTGGTTTTTAATTTGCACAGGTGCTCACTAGGAAGTTGGTTCAGATCACAAAATTAATTGGACCCAAGAGATGTTATATATAGTGTTAGGTCTCCTTAAATTAAAAGCTATGGCATTGACCCAAAGAATCCTTATGCTTTTATGAGGCTGCTGTTGAGGAATATTGTCTCAAAATTAATAGATAATAGATAAAGAATTAAAAGTACATCTTAAGCAGATCTTTTGTTTCATTAATACTTTACAGTGGACAATATGATAGAAAGAAGGAAAAAGAAATAAGAAAAATCTTCCTGTTGGCAACTGCTACTAAACTCTACTGTGTTTTGCCTCACAGTGCATGTCTACACTTCACTAAAATACCCACAGTTGGCCCAGGTCAGCTGACTTGGGCTCATGGGACTCAGGTTGCAGAGCTATAAAATTGCAGTGTAGTTGCTAGGGCTGGGGCCTGGGCTCTAAGACCCCACAAGGGGGAGTGTCCCAGAGCCTCAGCTCCAGTCTGAACCCAAATGTCTACACTGCAGTTTTAGAGCCCTGCAGCCCACGCCTTGCAAGACTGAGTCAGCTGACATGACCCAGCCATGGGTGTTTTATTGCAGTGTAGACAAGAGGTCAGGGAGGGAAACAACAAAGCTGTGATTATGATCCTTATTTATACTGGCAACCCTCTTAACAATATGAATGAGAGGTAGAGAAATAAAAGCTTGTTTTATGAAGGAAACAAAATGAAACTGAATTTTAGTGATTTTTATCTCATGGTTTTCTGGATTACAAAATGTGATTTATTTTATTTTATTTTTAAGTCCGAGGCTGATGGCAGGATTAGTCAATTGCAGAATGGCTATAATATAGTTCAGTTTAGTTTCTAACTTTGCATGAAATAAGCTGTGCCTGTTGGCCTCTGTTTGATCCTGTGAGAGTGGGGGCTAATGTCTGGCCAGTGTTTGGGAAGCAGCAGGTAGTCAGGAGCAAGCTGTTCTAGGGGTCCACGTTTCTGTAGCATGGCAGTTATTCACACACAGATGGAGACCTTATGAACTTTGACAGAGGTCATGCTAAATTGCAAATCTAAAACTTCTAGACTTCTGAAGACTTAGGGTGGCACATTATTATTTTTTCAGTCTGTGATCAGGAACATCATTGAAGCTGTAAACTCACTTTTAAGGAGTAGATCAACCATCCATCCATTGTTTAAACAAGTGATCTTGGGAACAGATACAGTCTTTCATGGTACTTTGAAAGGAAATTATTGCATATTAAAATGCTAATTTACATATGTAGAACACACTTCTTATATTGCTTCTGAAACACCTAGGCTTGCCGGCTTTTATTGAACTTGTAGAAGGACTTTTAGAGCTGAAAGCACTGCAGAAGCCTCTGATTTTTTTTTTTTCCTGTTACACATGGTTTGGAATGAATTAAGATACTCATGGTGGTTTTTGATTTCAGGTCTTTTGGGGCAATCAATTGAGACACCAAGATCTCTGTCATCTGTCATCAGCCATCATCTCAACAGGGATCTTATAGCGGTTTAGGAAAGAAAAACATGAGATGATATGGTTTCACATTGTAACATATTACCTTTTGCATTCAATCGAAGTCAGAGAACACTGAAGGGCTACTCTGTTGTGTTTTAAATTACAATTCTAAAGCTGCCCTTGAAAATGTCATATTTTAATTTACCACAGTTTCTAGTCAAGTGGGAAAATTAGGGGAAAAGTCAATAGTTAGTCTTAAGCTTGGATAGCTCTGCTCTGTAGTATCCAAAATATAGATTATATTTGTTCCCAAGTTACATTCATTTATCTTCTGCCACAGTTCTATGTTTTTACTAAATTGTTTGTTGGAGGTATAAAGAATGGAATGTTATATGTATGTAAACATCCAAGGAGCTTGGATGACCTAATCACCCAGGTGGCTTAGAAACTCATCTTCTTTTAATCACATGGTCAAATTCTCAGAATTGAACTAGATGTATGGTGCTGGTTAATGGCTCATGAACTAGTCTTTAGAGATACAACATTGTTTCATAAGGCTGAAGTCAGATTCCATGTGTTGAAAGTGTTTTCAGTATCGGCCACACAGAGAGCTAGAAAATTCACACCGGCAGAAGACTGTAGGGGGAAAATGTTTTTTAAAAGTGTGCGAACTGGGTTATGCATAAGATAACAAGAATGTTATTCATGTTTCTAAAGCTGGAGAAGGAAAAAAAGGGGGGGGAGTGCATTTTAAAAAAACATTCACTGTATTGCTGAGGTGGTATCTCCATTTCAGAAAAAAGAGAATGTAAATAATTCATTAGATCTGCAGTTGTGAAGTTTGACTATATTTACCTATTCTGGTGCAAATAGTACAGCAATTTCATATTTTATTTTTAATTATGGTTATCAGAAAGACCAGTTAAGCAGTCTTCAGGGTTGATGTGCAGTTTCTACTGATCCCTGAAAATGTACCTGTGAAGTGACAATCTCTAAAATACAAAGCTAGGAAGCTTTCCTCTGAATGTTAGAACTCTTAATGAAAGTGCTCACCCCAGTTAATATTATATGGGTTATGCTCTTCATATAATTACATAACTCTAATAACGGTATTAACTTCCAAGAAATGCTGTTGTTTACTGTGGGACACTGTTCTCTAGCCAGGTCTTTGTTATGCTCATGATGGCTCTTAGAAACCTTTTGCTAAAAATCCTTCCCTAAATTTAAAGAAAGAGTAAGGATAGTGATCTTTGATGGAGATTACTTATTCTCTGGATACACCTAAATTATCCTTTCCAGAGATGGCTCTCAGAAGAGAAAACTTTTTAACTTTAGAAATGGCTGAATTGCATCAATAGCAGATATAAGCAGTTTCACCAGAAAGGATGCTTTATTCTTGCTGCCTCCATCCCCTCCATTCACCACTACAAAGTCGTCACCTTCCACAAACATTTCAATGAAATTACATAGACTTAACGGTGTGTTGTGCTATTTATATAGTCAATATAGTTGCGTGAAAGAAATTTTAAATATTTCTAGCAAAGTGGAGTTGAATGTAAGTTTGTTTTCCTAGAGGTTGTGGATATGAGAGATTTTTGCTTAAATGAGAAGATAAATGATTAGTTTACTCCGTCTTTCACTCTGTCTCTCTGTGGTAGATACTCCTCCAGTACATGGAGTTTACTGCAGAACGTTTTTGAGGGAGCACTGTATTAAAATACAACTTGCATGTTTTTGAGCTATACTGTTGTGGGAGACTGTCAGAAGCAACAGAGAGCATGGTTGTTTGGAGGATTTTTAGTGGGGAATGTAGGAGTTCAATTCACCCACGGATCTTGGCCTTCTCTGTCTCCTAGCAGTCAAAAGCTCCACTTCTTTGCTGGCACAATGTCCTCCAAAAGCAGTAAAGTGGAGAAAAAAGACAAAATAAAAGAAAAGGTGGGAGAAGAAAGAGACAGAAAAGGATAAGCAGAAGGGAAAATGCAAAAACCAAGAACCAATATTTTACCTTTTGTGGCCATTATTGACATGTAATGCAGATGGGGAGAGGCACAGGGGAGTGGAAAATCTTGATTAGAGATTTGGCTGGGCAAGGTTGAGTAAGAGGATATGAAGATTGTATTCTAGAGATGATGGTGTGCAAGCATGAAGAAAGCACAGATAACTCTCAATTTTTTGTAAGATCTATCGGTAACCTTCATGAATTATAAATGACAGAATGTTATAAAATCTTATATAAATGCTTCAAACTTGATTGAGAGACAAGCTAGGTGAGGTAAAATCTTTTAATGAACCGGTGTTTTCATTGCTATGTACATAACTTTCCCAACAGGATGTCTCTAAAAGAATGTCAAGGTGGGTGTGGTTAATGGGAAATGCTGAGCTTGTGGGTATGGCACTGATACTCTGATGGGACTTCACTGAGCTCTCTTTAGGTCCTGTCTATATCTGCTTGGACTAAAGCAAAAACCTTATGGTCACTTTTTGCCCTTATTGACTTCATTAGGTTTTGGATCAGAGTCTGTCAGGAGAGGTGAGAATTGCAAAGATTTATGTCTTAATTAAACTGAATCGTCCAGAAATAGCAGTGTCTGAGTGCTAGGTGGACCACCCTCCCCCCAAAAAGATTCTGTCCGTGCCATGGTTGCCAAATTAGTTGACTGGAATTCAGTCTGAGGGGAAAAAGCAGCCCCCTGAATCTGTTTTGTTTTCTTTGTTTCTCGGTATTGCTTGTGATTAACACATTCATCTGATTTGACTCAATGTTTTATTTATAGGTGTGACTCACAATATAGCTTTACTGCGAGAAGTGATAACCCATCCACGCTTTGTTCAGGGAGATGTCAGCACTAAATTTCTTCCTGATGTGTATCCTGATGGCTTTAAAGGTTTGTTCTCCCTTAAAATATTTTTGTGTGTGAAAGAGTATCTTCATTACTACAATTTCTGTTTACTTCTAGAGTGGATTGTTCTCTAATCAGGTTTTCAATTTTTAAATGAAATCATTATCTACAAAATGTTTTGGAATTTTTAATAGGTTGCAAAATTGGAATTATTTTTCTTGAACTTCAGAAAGACATCTTTGGCTACAAATTGAAAATAAAAAAAAGTCAAATAATGGGCAGGAAATACATATATTTCACATAATCTGATACAGAAAAGGCAACAATAAACATCCTGCTGAATATGGGCATAATCACAGGAGGTGCTTAGTGCTCATAACTCCTATTGACATATGGGTGGTCAGTGGGAGTCTGAGGGCTCTAAGGCCTTGCAACAGACACCATATCAGATTGGGCCCTGTGATACCATGGAAAATACACACTCATTTATCATTGTTAATATTAAATTCATAAGTAATACACATAAGGGGAAATATTTTCTTTGTATTTATATAATCTGTTGCAAATGTAGTTGTTTTATTGAGAAATTAAACCTGTCAGGCACTTCGTTGGGTTTTTTCCACGAGTTCTTATTTTTGGGACCCTTTGTCCTAGCTGTCTAATTTAGTGATTATGCACATATACGTTCCATAGCAGATGGATCTAGACTCCCTCAGAACAGACCAAGGCCAATAAGGCCTGTAACAAAGAGGAAGCAATTTAGATTTCACCTGTACTATAGATCCTCTTTCCAGTAGTGATCACAAGGCTTTACCAAAAGAACGTCTAGACCTCCCTGAAGTGGCCAGTTGGCTTTGTCCACAGGCCCTTCTCACAAACAAGCTCAACCTCCAAGCAGTCATGTTGAGTGATAGAGGACAGCACACCTATTCCTATCCATTGGAAGATGCCTGTCTCTTTTTCTCTGTGTTTGGAAAGAGATCAAGTCAAACAAGTAAGTGCTCTGCACAGTGAAGGAGGGATATGTTATCCAGTTCATCTCTCTCTTCTGAGTCGTCTTCCCCTCCCCTCCCCCACACCTTTCACACACACACACCCCCCAGTCCCTTTTCAGGGACCCTTCTCATGAGACCGTTTTGTTTCAAGAAATAATCTCTTCTGGAATTGGAAGCGACAGAGGGAGATCCCTTACCAACACAGAGGGAAAGTTATCTGTTCGTGGTATTTCCTGGTCTCAAAGTTTTCTGATGTCCTTCATCCCATTCTATATCTAAGAAAGCTGAACTGCATCATCAAGAAAGCAAAGTTCAGGATGGTCCCCCTCGCTTCTTCCTTGGGGATTAGAGATTGGCATGGTGCCTTAGATTTACAGGATGCTTACATGTGGCAAAACCTCTCGGCTACAAGAAATTATTTTGATTCATAGCAAGCAACAGCCATTATTGGCATATGGTGCTCCCTTTTGGGCTTTCGTCAGCTCCGAGGGTGTTCACCAAGTGCATCTCAATGGTGGCAGCCCACATATAATATTTAGGCATTCAGATATTTCCTTATCTGAATGATTGGCTAGTTTACAGTACATCAGGTAACCTCCAAATCCAAAACAGCATGAGTGTCATCAGGCAGCTGTTCTCTCATCTGACCCTGCAACTAAAGTTGGACAGATCAAAGTTATAACCAACACTACACAAAACCTTTATCAATGCAGACGTCAATGCCATGACTGCCATGGCTTACCTTCCGATGGAAAGATTTTATCCTGTAGCCTTTCTGTCCAAAAGTCTCAAGTGCAACTCAGTGAGAACAGTGCATGCCTGTCTACATCTCCTGGGCCATGTGGCCTTTTGCATGTACGTAACTTTTCTTCATGACAGACTTCACAATCACTGTCTGCCGGCCTGGCTCCATTCAATATATTGTGTTACTATGCCTCCTCTGGACATACAGACTCCATGATTGCTCCAGTCTCTGGACTGGTGGTTGGATCTGTGCAATGTGTGCAGAGGGGTTCCCTTTCTGTCCCCAGTTTTGAATATGACCCTAGTAACAGATGTCTACCAAGGATTGGGGACCCAACTCAGTCAACTTCAGGCACAAGGTCTTTGGTCACCCCAGGAGTTCTCTCCACATAAATTTCTGGAGTGCAGAGCTATTTGTTGGGCTTGCAAGATGTTTGTCTGCTATCAAGAACCATGTGATACAAGTTCTTACAGAGACCACCAGTGCCATGTTTTATCTGAACAGGCAGAGAGGTGCAAGATCATCTCAGCTATGCAAGGAAGTCATCCACTTGTGGAAGTATGTATAAGAAACAATGTCTTCCTCAAGGAATTCCACATTCCAGGAGTGAGGAACACAATTGCAGACACCCTCAGCTGGGATTTCATAGACCAACACAAGTGGTCAATCAGAACTAACATCCTCCAAATCTTTCATCAGTGGGGGGGTACCCACTGATAGACTAGTTTGCTACCAACCTGAACTACTAGTGCAAGAGATTTTGCTCCATGGTTGGGGGCAGCTGGGGTTCCATTGCAGATGCCTTTCTTCTCCCCTGGTTCAGTCATCTCCTATATGCATTCCCTCCAGTTCCTCCAATTCTAAGGAAACTGAAAAAAAACAAAGCAACTTGAATCCTAGTGGCACTAGCCTGGCCAAAGCTCTACTGGTTCATGGATCTACGTTGGTTTTCCATCACATCTCCAGTGATGCCCTAGTCCATTCATGCCTCAACTTGGCCCTCGTCAAGGATCATCTATCTCCAAACCAGGGCAGGTCCCTGCATTCCAGTCTCCAATCTTTCCACCTCATGGCATGGATGATCTCTGGTTGAATATTCATGAGAGATGTTCAAGCCATTTTGGTGAACAGCGGGCACTACGTGCACTAGTTACATATATGCGCTAGAGCTACAGATGCTGCAAACTGGAAAAGATTTTAAATTTGGGCAGTCTCAACACAGAGGTCAAAAATGTACTTGACTGTTTTGTTACACCTGAAGTCATCTGGCCTTTCAGTTAGTTGTGTGAGAGTTTACCTGGCTTCCATATCAGCTCTGCATCCTCCAGGGGATGGATTTTCCATCTTCTCTTACCCTCTGGTTTCCAGATTTCTGAAGGGTTTTGTCAGCATCTACCCACCTGTGTCTGACCCAATACCTTTATGGATCCTTAACGTAGTCTACTCTAGACTAATAGGTTCTCCCTATGGCAACAACATTGTTATCTTTGTTGTTCAGGAAGACAGCGTTTCTGGTGGCAGTCACTTCTGCAAGGAGGGTTCAAGCTCTTTTAGCTAGTCCTTCTTTCACAGTCTTTCAAAAGTTTGTATTAGGCCACACCCTAAGATTATGCCGAAGATAGTATCAGCTTTCCACCTGAATCAAACTATTAATCTTCCGTGTGTGTTTCCTGAAACCTCACTCTTCCAAAGCTGAAAGGAAACTCCACATTTTAGACTTTTGTAGGGCATTGACATGCTCTGTGGATCGTACTAAATCCTTTAGACCCTCTCCCAGGGTTTTTATTGCCTATGCTGAGAGTTAGAGGTCAACCAGTAACAGCTCAGTCCATTTCTCGTTGGATTTCTGATTGCATTAAAGTGGTTCTATGACCTTGATAAAGTCTCCCTCCATCAAGCCCAGTCTACCAGAGCACCGTCCAGTCCACGTCATCAGCTATTCTGAGCGACATCCCTATAGTGATCACCACTCCACTTACCACACAGTGCTTAATTGTAGCTGTAGTGAAAACAAGAATAAGTTTATCAAAGAACAGAGACTCAAATGATAGAAGTAAAAAATATTGGAAACAAATGGTTGCATACAAAACAAACCTTAGCACAGTTGTGTTCAGCCCCATTCACAAAAGTGAGAATCTGTGTGTATGCTCCCTTGTAGGATTGGGACATACAAAATTCAGATTACACAATTAAAATGTATTATCATATTTTTTCTATTTAATTTTATTGTAAAATGAGTGTCTTTTCACTGACCTCATTGGGTCAGGTCCTGAGTGTTTTTTTCCTCCAAAAACTAATTTCTGTAAAATGTGTAAGAATCTAAATAAAATAATTAAGTAAATAAAAACTGATTTCAGTCTCAGGTTTCCATAGGTTTATTATAAACTAAAGTTAACATCTTTTTAAATTGAGATATATCTTGACAACTTTTCTATTAACCTACATTGCCCACTTTAAATTAAATCTTTGCTTTGACTGGCATAAACAATAGTTTTTATAGTTATTTTTAAACATGTCTCTTCACCCTCTCTAAATTAATCTTCACCAATACAAAAATGCTTGCTTAGTTTGTTTTAGGCATTTTCTTAAAAAAGTTACTACGCTAATTTAAGCTCTGTCAGGCATTCTCCGACTGGGAATACTACTACTTTGCTGCTCCTCACACTGTTTAGTTTAGATAGAACATCAGGGTTTAGCAATGGCATGGCACTAGATTGTCTCCATCACCACGGTGGCTGAGCACCTCCCAGTCTTTAATGCACTGTGGCACCCCATGAGGTAGGGGTGTCACATTATACAGATGAGGAACTGAGGTACAGAGAGACTAAAGTCACTCAAGGTCCCAGAAGAGAATTGAACCACGGTCTCCTGAATTTCACTATAACATCCTGTCTAGTGGACCATCCTCCCTCTTTTCAACGCCCTCTCATAGCTGACCCAAAAGTGTGGCTTTGTCCCTAACCCTAAATATTGTGTTTATCTAATGTTGGGGGAATTTTCTTTAAGTTCTACACTTCCACCAGTAGAGTCTCTCTTACTCTACTGATAATGTAGAAGAGGGCTCCTATGAAGACAGGAAGTGGGGCATATGTGCGGGTGTTGCAGAAGCCATGCTAAAACGTATGAGACAGTGGGTAGGGGATCTTTCATTTTTCCCACCCCAGTAGTACCTAGTTTTGGGTTTTGGACTCCATATTGGATAGCATGGTGGTTTAAAGGGCATTCCTAACACAGTTCCCTCTCTCTTCCTCTCTGTAATTTCTGTAATGAATGTGATGAAAGAGGGTTGCATGTTGCTTACATTG